TTACCTTCTAATGGAAGAGACAACAAATACATATAAAAATGTTACAGCACAAATACAAAGCTAATGCATATGCATACAAAGTATTTAAACATCAGGTAGTTTGGGAGAGAAGACAAATAGTTGTCAGGATCAGGAAATTCATGCAGGAGATGGTGCCTGAGCTGCATCTTCAAGGAAAAGAAGCTCCTTAGGAGCTCTGCTCCTAAGGGAGCAGAGGTAAACAGAGAGTATATTAAAGGTATAGGGGGACCTCTGAGGTCTCAAAAAAGGAAGATGAAATGTCATGAATGAGGAACAGAGAAAAGGTCAGTTTGACTGGATCATATGGTGAAAGAAGCAGAATAATGTCCAGTGGGGCTGGAAAGGTAGTATAGAGCCTGGTTATATAGAATAGAAGTGGATCCTTTCAGGCCACACATTGACATCAAAAAACCACAAATTAACATTATCAATGTTGTAGTGTATTTTTATTTATTTTGTTAAACATTTCCCAATTGCATTTAATCTGGTTTGGCTATACTCAGGAGTTTTGTGGGTGGGCTGTACCTCTGATGTAAGGCTCTAAAAGCTAAACAGAAGAATTTTATATTTTATTCGAGAGGCAAAAGGAAGCCACCGCAATTGGTTGTTTAGAGGAGTTACAGACCTTAATGTCTGCGATTAAGGAAATTACTCTGGCAACAATATGTAAAATGGTTGGGGAGTCGGTAGACACTTGAGTCAGGGAGACCAATCAGGAGGCAATAATCTAGGAAGGAGGTGATGAGGAACTGAACTGAGATGGTAGCTGTGTGAGTGGAGAGGTGTTATGTATGAGAGATGTCAAGAACACAGATATGGCAACTGATATGGGATGAGGTAATGTAAGAGTAGATAATAATGCCAAGACTATGAAGCTGAGACACTGAAAGTGGTACCTTTGACAAAAATACAGATTTGTATATGGAAGAAGGAGAGTCTGGGGAAAAGATGAATTATGTTGACTTTAAGATGTATGTCTCTAGGATATTCGCTTTGAAATTTCCAATAGGCAATTGGTGATATGGAATACTGATCATGAAATACTGGATATGAAATACTGAAGCTAGGAGACCTGAGCTGGGTATGTAGACTGAGAATCATGTGCATAGAGATGACAGTTAAACCCATCAGCATGGATGAAGTTACCAAGAAAGTAGATCGGGAGAAGAGAAGAGGGCCCAGTACAGAATTTTAGGAAACACCCATAGTTAAGGGGAGTGGGGATGGGAAGTACAATGTTGACGAGCCAATAAAGAAGACTAGGAAGGAGAGGTTAAACAGGTAGGAAGTAAGCCAGGAGAAAGTGGTGTCACAAAAACCCCAAGAGGAAAGTATATTCAGGAGATGGTGGTCAACAGTGAAAAATATAGCAGGTAGGTAAAGAAGGATTAGGACTGGGATTAGGACTGATTATTAGATTTGGCTATTAAGAGATTATTGGTAACACTGGAGAGAGGAATTTCAATTGATTGCTGAGGTTGACAGCCAGATTACAAGGGGTTGAGGAGTCACTGAGAGAAGGAAGTGAAAGTGGTAAGTAAAGACAACTTTTTCTAGGAGTTTAGCTGAAAAAAAGGGAGAAACATAGGATGATAGCTTGAAGGGTTGGTAGGGCTAAGTGAAGGTTTTTTTAAGGATGGGGAAGACTTTAGTATGTATGAAAATAGTAGGGAAGGAACCAGTGGATAAGGAACCATCCATTAAGGATCATACATCCAGTTATCCACCTAAGCCTCCATGAGGGAGAGAAAGGGCTTCAAGGAAAAGTTTTCTTACTGGGAAGAGGCAGCATGACTCCTGAAGGGCAGAGTGAAGAGCTTCTGCTGGCCAAACTCAACTCCCCATCCTATGTCCCCTATGGTTATATGATGACAACCCACAAATCTGTCAATTACTTTCCCCTTCAAGCAGGGATATTTGGAAACAACTTTTGCAAAGCAGATTCAACAAAAATTCTTGAATCCACAGACACAGAGGCGAGTACTTTCAGAGTCAGGCTAGGGGATAGAGGAAGGGATCACTGGGCAAAAGGGAAACATTAATTCAAAGAGATTTCCTGGCTCTTATAGAAATGGGAGCTAGAAGGCTATTCCCTCCTTAAGGATAGGGGACCAATTCAATGCTAGTCAAACCCACATTTTCAGGGTGTAGAGCTGGATTCTATCCCACTTCAACTTGCAGACGCCAGGTGGCTCATGGTGTCACCCTCAAGATGGGGAGGCATTGGAAGCCAAGAAAATATGTCATAGCCCAAATTGTTTCAGTTCTTCTAGGCTGTGGTGAAAATGACCTCAAAAAGTCTGACCTTGTGCACTTTTTCTATGCTGCTTCCATTCATCAATAAATGTACTAGTAAGATTGAAGCCCCTGTGCTTTTCATCCTTTATAAACATAGACAGTTGGTGGTACTTTGTTTCATTACACCCACTTAAAAAAAATCAGGAGAAACAATGTCCTCAGGGTTGTTATTTCATTTCAATCTTTTCTCATCACTTGTAGTCAGACTTGCCCTTGTTCACTCAAGGAGAATTCCCCCAAAGTTTGCCCTCCCACTCCCTCCAGTGAATGCCTCCTTACACATCATGAAAAAAGTACAATTATGACATGCTGCCTCCCACTAATGAAGGAATTCTAAGTCACTAAGCCCCATAGGGAGTGAGGACACATACACCCTGCTGTGTCTTCTCATTGGCTCTGCTGAAATGTGGTTTACTCCCCAAACTGTCGGCTCACTGGTCACACAGATCACCTCCCTTTTTCCTTCATGGTCCCTTGAGGAGGAAGCCAAGTGACCTTTGGTCTAGTGCAATTCAAACAGGAATGTGGGACCTCAGACCTCAGCTCTCATCCTGCCTACAAACAGTTCTGAGGAAATGGAGATGGGAAGAGCATTTTCACGCATCATCCCTCCCCCTACCCCCACCCAGCTTTTCTATGCAGTTGGGGAGGGGGCAGAGAGGGAGGAAGCTGAAAGAGAAGTTGCAACACAACTGCTCCTGTCCAGTCATAAATGAGGGTTATAGAGTTTGGGACATATGGACTCCAGATTCAATTGAGTTCTCCTGGAGCCCCACAAAATTTGGCCCAGAAGAGCAGAGAAGAGAATACCAGGAAATAAATGCTCAGAGCCAAGATCTTGTTCCTTATTCTTGAACATCTTCTGAATGTGCAAGGTGACTATGGATGCTTTGTTCATTAGAGCAAGTTGCTGAAACTGGGGAAATGAACAATCACTACAATTTGCTTCATGTTTGCAAATAATAACTCGGAGGTTGCTATAACTTAGTCATGACCTTGTTGGTAACAATTCCATCAATATGGTAAGAAGGCAGCAAAATCGGTATCACTACTAAAAGGGGGTATGGGAGGGAGGATGGTAATCCAATTCCAAAGCATAACCTCTTACTCACACTGTGCGGTTTGTACCCAGAAAAGCCCCAGACCTATAACCACATCTGGTGCATGAAAAAATAAGTCATTTCAGAATCACTAGAGGACTTCGAATACTTCTCACTTAATTTTCTGGAGTTAAGATAAAAGAAACAGAAAACCCTTAATGCCAAATAGCAACACTAGCAATTCTTTAATGTGCCAATAATAGAAAGTTCCTTTAGGGAGGTGGAGATTTTATTTTTTAGTTGTGCTGAGTAAAATGTTCCCAATTTCATGGCTTTTAAAATATTTTCTTCCTAAACTTTGACAGTGACCAAGTATTAGCAACAGGAGGAATTGGAAACTTTAGAAGTTTGGCTAGTTCGCAGCACTAAGGGAAAAGATCAAATGTACACAGACAGACTAAGGATGCACGAAACCGGTAAAGAAATCAGCAAACAGATTTCAGAAACTAGAATTCAGAAGCGACTGATAGTGTTCAGAACTTACCCACGTGCCGCCCCCTTCCCCGCCCCCCCAAAAGAAAAACCAATCCGACAAAAACACCAAAGTAAAATCTTTCAGGCTGGGAACGAGCCTAGAAAACACGTGCTGAACCAACTTGTTGGAAAAGCCCCGAACCAAGGAAAGGGGCTGGGCTAATGCTTTTTCCTCCAACTTTCCCATAACGAGTTCCCCTCCACGCCCCTGCCCCTGCCCCAGCCCCTGCTCCTGTCCCTGCTCCTGCAAGTCCCTCCTGTTCTATGTTTACAGATCTGGTTCCAAGGACCCCGAAGCAAAGAAAATATAGACAAACGCAAGGCCAGAGACAGCCGCATCCTGCCGGTAGACGGGTGGATAGAGAGCTCTCAGGTCCAGCTCTCTACCCAAGCCCGCAGCGCATCCTCAGGAGGCTGGACTCCACTTCCCCTCAGGTCCTCAGAGGTCCCCCTGCCAGATGTCATTATAGAGAAAGCAGCCCTTGGGAGAGGGGTGCACCCCCAAAGCTAGGGGACAGGTGAACCCCGTGCGGAGCCTCAGGTTGGGAATGCGAGAGCGTTAGGTGGAGTGTTAGAGGGAATCAGCAGCCCCGAGGCCGGACCCTGTACCACCTACATTCTCTCAAACTGGCCACCCCCCACGACCCCTGAAGCTCCCCCCCAAACCAGGGAAGGGGGCGCTTCCCACAATGCCCAGCGTTCTCTAGCCCTCACTTCCGCTGTCCAGCCACCCAGCTAGAGGGGCGGAGGAGACCCGAACCCAAACCTCCAGAACACTGGCCCCTCCACGTTACCCCTCCCCCAGCCCCGCACCTAGAAGCAGAGAGGAGACACACCACAGCAGGGGGGCGTAGGGACGGGGGCGGGGCTAGGGAGCAGGGGCTGGAGGGGCGGAGCTTAAAAAGGGTGGTCGAAGAAGAAAAGGAGCGGAAAGGGGCCAATCAAAAGCGGCCGGGCGCGCGCCGGGGGGCGGGGTCAGAGACCGCTAGCGCTTGCCCGGCGCCTTTCGCGGGCGCGCGCGAGGCAGGGGGCGTGTGTGAAGGGGGGGGTGGCGGAGCCAGCCGGGGGCGCGCGAGGCTGAGCGGGGGCGCGCTGGAGCGGGTCTGACTGACGGACTGACTGAGAGCGGAGCGAGCTAGAGGAGCTCTGGAGGCGACTCGGACCCGGCACCGGGATTCCGGGGGCGACGGTCAGGGGCAGGGGCCGAAGAAAAGGGCTTCTGGCTGGACGAGGGTCTGCCGGCCGCGGCTCCCGCTCCTCCTTCTCATCCTTCTCCTCCTCCGGCGGCCGCCCTCGCTCCCTGCCTCCCCCCGCCCCATGGGGTAACAGGTAAGCGGCGAGCCCGGCTGCTCATTGTCCGCTCCGGCCCGGCCCAGCCCGGCGCCTGCCCTCGCCTCCGCTCCGCTCCCGAGCCGGGGACTCCCCTCTGTCCGGCTCACCTGACCCCGCTCCCCGCCAGCCCCGAGGATTCCCCCAGGGCTCCGGCGCCCGGAGCGAAGGACCCCGCGCCCCCGTGCGCGGGGCGCCCCCTGTGGCCGGGCGGCTGCGGCGGCGGAGTAGAGGACCCCGGGCCGGCCGGGGCTAGGGGTGACAGGCACCGGCTGCCCTGAGACGACCCCGCCGCGGCGGCAGCCGCAGTCGCCTTTGCCCCCTCTCCCGGCTTTGCCCCGCGCCCCGCGGGCAGGGCCGGGGCGGAGGGGGGTTAGCGTCCGTGCCTCCGGGTCTGTCCTGTGCCCCCTCCCTCAATTGCGCCCGGCGGGGGTGGCAGCGGGTGGCAGCGGGTGGCAGTTGTCTCTCACTCCTCCGGGCTAGCGTAGGGGGTGGTTGGAAGGCACCGTGATTCCCCTCCCTCCCTCCCTTCTTTTTCCCCTTCTCTGCCACCAGGTCTGACGGCGCCTCACTCCCATTTTATACCCTGGCAACACCTCTCCCTGAACCGCTTTGAACCCCCTGGGGCCACCGGGCAAGAACCACCAGCTCTCGGGGCTGCGGGGGGAGGGAAGTTGGAGGATGTCTGTGAGAGTGGAAGCGTGTGTGTGTGTGTTGGGGGGTGTTCGTGTTGTACTGGAGGGGCGGGGGCGGGCGGACACGGAGACTCTGGATTTGGAGGAGGGCTGTTACTGAAGCGAGGTAAGTCTGGTGTGTGCCAGGGTTTAACCCCACACCCCCTCCCTCCCCTTGTGCCTCCTCCTCCTCCTTCCCTCCTCCCTGTAACCTCCAAAAGGGGAATTTTCCAGCCGGTAATTTCTGCTGCGTCAACACCCAGCTCTAGGAAGAGGAGACAAGGGGCATTTTAGTAGCTCCCACTGCCCATGAGAGGCTTCTACCCAAACCCCAGAATTAAAATTCTTCCCCCAAAACGCAGCCTATAGGCAAGTTGCACCAAGAGTTTCAGAAGAGTCTATGTCTCAAAACTGCCTGGAAAAAGGGGATGAGGTAATACAGAGAAGCTTGTGTATTTCTTTCTCTCTCTCAGGCCTGTTTTGGGTTATTGTCTCCCCCTAAAGCCAGACACAGATCGCCTGGCCTTGCCTCCATTTTAATTACAGGCTGAAATGGGGGAAGAAGTGACCCTAGAACAAAACTGCAAGATCATTTCTCTCTTCTTTGGTGAGGCAGCTAATTGAATGTGAGACTTAACCAAAAGGGCTGAGATTTCTTTATATGTTGGGTAATAGATTCAGTGGGGGTAGCTTTCCCTTCTCACCCCTTGCCACCCCAAAGGCATGTTCTGTAAGGAGAGAAGAGGAAGGATTGGACTTGAAGGTGTGTTTGCAAAATAAGGGTTTGTAATGCTGGGTTGGCTTTGTCTCCCTGTAAATAGACATGTCAGTTTCACAAAGTAATACAAGTAAGTGTCTGATAACTCAATCCCAGATGACAGGGAATGAAGCTGAATTTTCAGGTCTAGAAAAATTTCTAGTTTTTTTTTTTACCCTCACAAATTTAGTATCTTGTCTGGTTAATACACCACACACACACAACCTGCCAGTAGCTGTACTCCAATGAAATCTGAATGTTATAGGAAAAAATGCTTTTGACGCTTGATAAGGAAATATAAACAAAAGAAAGTTTAATGGAGATTAGCAGAGAATTTCCTCATGCTTTTCTGTTTTACAATCTCAGTGATTCACATTCAGCATGGTGACAAGATTATTATCAGCATTGTTTAAAGAAATGCTAATTAGAAAACATGTTTTGCAAACAACACTGAGCAGACACCTGTACTAAAGTTCTGACTTGCATTTTAATTGTATCAGTTGTTTTATATTTGATTTATTGTAATATCTAACTTCCAGTTTTTTAAAAGAGTTATTATAGGTTCACTTTCTACTTAAGCATCTCAGCCTTTATTGTTGGTTTATGTAAGGCATTTTCTCTAAGAATGGGAAATATCTTTTATTCATAAAGAGTAATTACAGTAAAGATTTCATAGTAGCAGTGAAACAAAAAAAAGTATCTTGTTGCAGAAGAGTTCTTCAATTTGATAACTTTATGGATTGTCCTGGATCAAAAGATACTGAGAAGTATCAAATCTTTGTAATTACTGTATGATTTAACAGTTTACCTGCACTGTGGCCATATACTTCATTTACTGTAACAAATAGAAATGTGAACATTTTTCAATGAAAAGTTTTGTAATTATTTTGGTATCTTTTGTAAAATGGGTTGCAGTCATAGCATAGTAAATGTGGTAAAGAACTATCACTGAGGTATTTGGGGATTGAAACCTAATGTAGAACCTATTACCCAGTGGGCCAGCCTGAGAACTACAAAGAAAAACTTAGATTTCTGTTTACAAGAACTCTCATTTTACCTGTTCATGAAAATTAGAATTTTGTTTTGATAAGCTTTTTAATTGAACATTTTTAGTCTTTTTTAAGTGTTCTGATATGTTGTTTCCTCAAGCTTACACCTCAGTTAATTCCATGTTCTTTTTGATAGATGTAAATGCTGTTTATCCTTATGTAGTGAATTCCCCCACCCTCTGCAGTTATGAAACAACCTCATTATATCACTGATTCATTTATACTTTGGGTCAAATCTTGTCTCTGGTGTCCATAGTAACATATAGTGTGTCTTTCTCACCAGTAATGAGTGCCTGTAACATGGGTGTGATTCTTGTACCTTAAATAATTTTATAAAAGGAGTCTACTCTATGTAAATCTTGAAACTTCTTGAATATTTTAAAATTGGATTAATTTTGGGTACCTTGTTTCAATGTTAGCAAATAACTTATTTACAAGTGTTAATAAACAGGTTTACAATTTCATAATCTGAACTTTGAATATTGTCCTTTAACTGGCTTTTTCAAATGTAAAGAGAAATTGGGCCAGGTTGTCCCTGTGGTCTGTGTTTCTGGGACGGTTGTACTTGGTCTTTTCAAAGGGTTTTTATGACAGCTGTAAGCTTAGGAAAATGAGTTTAATGAATGTTAAGTAGAGGGGAAAAAAATCCTGAAATGCCCATAAACTTGATAAAGTTATTACTTGCTGTGACTTTATAAATGAAAACAATTTCCATTTGATTGACATCATCTTCTTCTTCTATTGGGTTAAAATAAGTTATGTGTACTTTAAAAGCCTTCCCCTACTTGCTTTAGAATTCTGCATTTGTTCTTGTTTGAGCCTACATATACCTTAAATTTTTTTCCGTTTTTTGCTAAGTGCAAGTTCTTCCCCAATTCACATTTCATTTTTAAATCCAGAGATATTATATAACAAATCATATTTTTCTTCCTGCCCTTTCTTAGGATATATTTTAATAAATTGTACAGTGATGATAGATTGTTTAGGATGCTGTTCCTGTCTCTTTCCCCAGACCCCAATAATCTTTCTTTACTGCTAAATATTTATTTTTAATGGTCTAAATGAGGGATAAGTGAACATTCTTTTAAGTACACATTTTAAGGGAAGAGGACTTGGTTTTAAATCTCTGAAATGCTTTCTTCACTTCTAATTGTTGTCCTTTACTCCAGTTGTAGTTCCCTAGAGTCCTTTGCTTTAGTGTGCCCAGTACAGGCAATAAAATTTGCACCAGAAAAAACCTGAGGATTTTAAAGAAAAGACTAATGATGTTTCTTTTTTGTATTGCATCTTAAATACTGGTTTATCATGTAACCCAAAGCATTGATCATTCCCATGTTCTTGATGAAAAGGTTTTATATGGTATTACTCATTAGCAATGACAGAAAATGCCCCACAATGTTTTCCATGACTGGCAAAAGGCATAGTAAGAAAATATGAAAAGTTCCTAAGAAGATTATGGTAAATGAGGAAACTAAAGAGTGAAATCAACCAATTTTGCAATTAGGTATTACCCAGGTGTTCCTTTAAGTGTGTATATGTGTGTGTGTATGTGTGTGTATTTGTATATATGGTTGAATAACTGTAAAGATTATCATTTTGACCTGTAATTAGTCAGCAGGAGTTTATTAAGTGCATACTATATGCCAGGCACTTTATGCTGAGCAGTAGGGATACAAAGACAAACATGAAACGATCCTTGAGGTCCTTGAGGGAGACCTCAAGGAGCTTACTTTCTAATGGGAGATACAATATGTACATATAGAAAGCATACACATTATAGGTACAACTAGATATAAGGTAGTTTAGGGAAGAAGTACACTATATCTAAATAAAAATCATCTTGAAATATCTTTTTCTAATGTGGGTTTCTGGCTAGGTTTGTGTATGCTTATTTGTATGTTGTCTCATCCATTAAACTGTCATCTCTTTGAGAGCTCCTTTGCCTTTCTTTGTATCTCTAGCCCTTAGCATAGTGCTTAATAAATGTTTAAGTGTTTAATAAGTATTTATTGATTGATTGAATAGATGTGTTAAATTTCAAAGCCTATTGCAAGTTGAAGGTACGATGCTAATCATTTATTTGCCATCAGAGGTAACTGTGATAATGTTCTTTTATCAAAAAATTAAATCTGTCTTGTGAGTCACATCAGACCAATCCATCAGGCAGCCAGCTTGCTCTCAAGGAGCTCACAGTCTAATGGGGAAAACAACATACAAAGAATTATGTATAAACAAGCTATAGACAGGATAAATTGGAGATGATCATCATAGAGAAGGCCATAGGATTAAAGAAGATCAAGAAAGGCTTCTTGTGGAAAGTGGGATTTTAGCTGGAACCTGAAGGAAGCTGGGGAAGGCAGCAGATAGAGATAAAGGAGAGAATTCCAGGCATGAGGAGAAGCCAGTGAAAATACTTCAAGTTCGAGGATGGAGTGTCTTGTGTGGAGAACAGCAAGGAGGCTAATGGAGTTGAATTGTAGTGTGTGTGGAGGAGAGTAAAGTGTAAGAAAACTAGACAGAAAGGGTGAAGGTTGTAAATGGCTTTAAATGCCAGAGGACTTTAATTTTTATCCTGGAGGCAATAGAAAGCAGCTAGAATTTATTGGAGTAGGTCGGTGGTGCAGTGGATAGAATGTTGGATCTAGAGTTCTAGAGGACTCATCTTCCTGAGTTCAAATGTGACCACAGGTACTGGGTGACCTTCAGCAAGTCATTTAACCCTGTTTGCCTCAGTTCCTCATCTGTAAAATGAGCAGGAGAAGAAAATAGCAAACCACTCCAGTATCTAGCCAAGAAAACCTCAAATGGGGTCACAAAGAATTGGACACGACTGAAATGACTGAACAACAACAAAAGAATTTATTGAATGGGGGTAAGATGTGATACAACAAATTAGTAAACATTTATTAAGTGTCTGCAATGTGCTAAGCTCTAGGGATACAAAAAAGAGGCAAAACAGTCCCTGCATTCAAGGAGCTTACAATCTAATGGGGGAGATAATATGTAAATCCATATATACAAAGTAAGCTATCAGCAGGTTAAATAGGAAATAATTAACAGGGGAAGGCTTCCAGTAAAATATGTGGTCTTAGTTGAGTCTAAAAGAAAGCCGGGAAAGTCAATAGCTGGAGCAGAAAATGGAGAGCCTTTTAGGCTTGTGGGATAACCAAAGAGAAGACATTCAGATCCTCTCTTTAAGTCAGTTTGAAGGCTAAGTGGAGCACGGGCCTGGAGTGGAGAGAGACTTGTGGCAAGGAGATCAACTAGCAAGCTCTTGCAATAGTCCAGGTGTGACATGATGAGGGCCTTTTCTAGGGTGGTAGCAGTGTCAGAGGAGAGAAGGGGGTATATGTGAGACATGTTATAAAGGTAAAATAGTAAGGCCTTGGCAACAGATTGTATATAGGGGATTAAAAAGAATGAGGAGTTAAGGATGATACCTTGTTTGCAAGCCTGATGGCTGGGAAACTGGTGGTATCATGGACAGTAATAAGGAAGTTAGGTTGAGAGAGAGGGAAGATAATGCAATTTTTGTTATGTTGAGTTTAAGATGTCTATACAACATCCAATTTAAGATGGACAGTAAGTAGTTGGAGATGGGAGACTGGAGGTCAACAGAGAGATTAGGGCTAGATAAGTAAATTTGAGAATTATTAGCAAAGTTGAATCCATGGGAACTTATGAGATTGCCATGTGAAATAGTATAGAGGAAGAAAAAAAAGACGACCCGGGACAGAACCTTGTGGGGGTACCCACAGGTATTGGGTATTACTGAGATGAAGATCCAGCAAAGGAGACTGAGAAGGAACAGATAGATATGTAGGAGGTGAACCAGGATCAAATAATGTCATGAAAACCTAAGTGAAGAAGGTATCGGAGAGAAGAGGGTGATCATCAGTGTCAAAGGCTTCTGAGAAGTCAAGGAGGATGAGGATTGGGGAAGGCCATTAGATTTAGCAATTAAGAGATCATTAGTAACTTTGGCAGAAGCAAATTTTTTAAATTACTCATTTATGAAGTTTTATTTTAATAATGGTTTCAAAATAGAATATCAGATGCATTCTTAATAGGAAAAGGTAATGATAGTTTTCAATATGTTCATACACATAAAGATCTTATGGTGTAGTATGCAAAAAATCAGTTATAAAGTAGCAATTTTCCTAATACTAAAGGAGCACACTTAATCATTGTTTGAAATAATCACAGAAGAAAGTGTATTTCCTCTATTTCTCTTGAATTGTTTTCAGACAGCATCATGTCACTAAATGCAACTATAGTTTGATGAGAATTCATTTTTTCTGGCCATAGCATAAAATTATGCAGAAATCGTCCTATATGCATGAATAATTTTTAATTTTTGTATAGAGGTAGGGTAGAGAAATAGTTTTTGTTTATAAAACACTACAATCCCTGATCTTTTCATCCCCATAGTTCTATTTATTTCGCAATTATTATAAAAATTATTTTGCATAACAGTACATATTTGTCTTCACCACAGTACTTATTATACACTTGGAGATCCAATATAACACTATTTTCTGTAGAGCTGAATTCGATCTAAGACTGTCTTGTATCCATTAAAGGGGGTTTAATTACTGAAATACCATCTCTCCTATGTACCCCTTCTCTTTTCTGACACTGCCATCACCCTGGTGCAAGCCTTCATTGTTTCAAGCCTAGTTTATTTCAGTAGCCTGATGGTTGGTCTCTCTGCCTCAGATCTCTCCCCCATCTAGTCCATCCTCCCCTCAGTTGTCAAATTGATCTTTCTAAAATACATATCTGACCATATTTCCCTCTTCCCATTCAGTAAACTCCATTGTCCTCCTATTTCCTCCAAGAACATAACCTTCATAACCTGGCCTCTTTCCAGTCTAATTATACCTTACTTCCCTCTATATACTTTGTGATCCAGTGACACTGGCATCCTTGATGTTCCTTACTCAAGATACTCCTTCTCTACACTTCATGTACACTTCATTCTCCAATTTTTCCTCCATGTTTGGACTTCTTCCTGTTCATATCTGCCTCCTGACTGCCTTCAGATCTCAGCTAAAGTCCCATCTGATGCAAGAAGCATTTCTCAGTCTTTCTTAATCTTGGTGCCTTCTCTCAGAGATAATCTCCAATTTATCCTTATGTATATCTTGTTTGTATACAGTTAATTGCATGCTGTTTCCCCCATTAGACTGTGAGCTCCTTGAGAGCAGGAACTACTTTTTTTTTTTAAACCTTTCTTTGTATCCCCAACATGTAGCATAAAGTCTGGCACAAAATAGGCACTTAATAAATGCTTGTTGACTTAACTTATAAGGTAGTTTTACCTAAAAGGTAGTCCCCACAACATACCCAGAAAGATTGAAGCATAGCAAGGCAATACTGTCATTATTTAGGTATGTATGTTTTCCCTTTAGAATGGGATCTCAAGGTAAGAGTAGCAAAAAGAAAAAATGCTCTTACGTATGTTGATGAGCAAGATGTTTATACAGACCTGTCAACATTGTTTATTGAGAATCTACTACTTAGAGATCTCTGTATTAGATGATGTGGTGACTTAACAAAGGAATTTGAAGAATTGGTCATTGCCTTTAAGAAGCTTATGACCTAAAAGAGGAAACAGGATAAATCCAAGTTGATATACATGCAGAAGTGACAAGAATATACACATGTGTAAAAGCATGTGGCTATATGTTTACACATAAATTCAACTCTAGCTGCTTAGAGATTATATATGTAATCAAAGCAGGGAAAATAATGGACAAGGCAAAGGGTTCTCTAAGTGTTGCAGTTAGAACCAAGAGGAATTAATCTAAAAAAATTTCACAGAGGAAGTTATTCTTAAATATTTTTTTGGAAAACTGGTGTCAGAGAAATGGTGAAACCATTCTAATCAAGAAGAATGATGTGTCAGTGATTTGGAGGTAGAAGAAGGCACATAGTTCTTATACTCAGTAAGCAGTTATTGAACACTTAATTGTGGTCTAGGCACTGTGCTAAATACTGAGAGATGCAAAGAATGAAAAATTGCAAAGAAATTGCAAAGAAATGCAAAAATCTGTCCCTGATCTCAAGGCACTCACATTGGAAGACAGCATGTAAATGCCTATGGACTTAGAAAATTTATACAAAATTTATGGAAAGTTAGCTCAGAGGGAAGGCATTTGCAGCAGAGCGGACCAGGAAAGATTTGCAGAGGGTGGGATTTCAGCTGAGTCTTTAAGGAATCCAGGGAAGGTAGGAGCTAAATGTGAGTGGAGAGTGCATTCCAGGGATAGGGGACAGCCAGTACAAAAGAACAGAATTGGGAGATAGAGTGTTATGTGTGAGGAACAGCAAAGTAGACCAATGAAGCTGGATTGTAGAATGTGTTGAGGGGAGAAGAGTGTAAGAAGACTGGAAAGGTAGCAAGGGGCCAGAGTGTAAAGGGCTTTAAATGTCAAACAGAGGACCTTTTTTTTGAACCTGGAGGGTAATAGGAAGCCACTGAAGTCTGAGCAGAGAGCAATGCTCTAGGAACAGCTCTATGCTTTAGGAATATCAATTTGACAGTTGAGTGGAGGATGGCTTGGAATGGGAAGAGACTTAAGGAGGGAGGCCAATTAGAAGGTTATTGCGTGTTACTCTTAAAGAGAGTGGCTATGGTGTGTGTAGTGGGAGATGAAGGAGTTGGGTAAGATGAGACCAATTATATAGCCTGATACTTCTGTATAAAGTGTAGGTAATAGAAGACATTAAATGTTTGTATAATTTGCAGTGATTTTCATCTGTGTAGGTATTCCTTTCACCAGTTCAGATGGTAACCCATTCCTGATTTCTCATCTTCTATAATTTTTGTCCCTGTCTTTCCTGAGTATTCCGTAGAGGCTGCTCCCTACCAGCTAGGGAACTTGTTCCTTTTCTTAATATCTTTGGCTGCAAGGGTAGCACTTGGGCTGACTATTTGTTTTCTTTCATTCACTATATGATTTTCCTATCTCCTTTTATGGTCATAGTTGTCTTTTTCCCACCTTACAGATCATAGGATCACAGACCATTAGAACTGAAAAATGACTTGAGGGATCATCTAGTGTACAACCCTTTCATTTTACAGATGAAACTGAGGCTCAAAGAAGTTAAGGGATCTACTAGCTATGTGACCATTGGCAAATATCAGAGCTGAATCCAGGTCTCCTGATTCCAAGTTGAGTGTTCTTACCACTTCAGCAGACTGCCTCATTTCATACCAAGTAAGTCATTCTTAGTAATATGCTGTTATCTATTTACATCTTGTATGTCTTAACATTTCCTTCTGGGGCAGAACCCCAGATTCGTCCAAGAAGCCACTTTAAGGCTCTGAAAAGGGAAATAATAACAGAATAGATTTAGAGGAAAATTGTTCTTAAATCCATCCATACATAGAATGTGGTAGGAGAGTTGGCAAAAAGGTTATAGTCTAGGTCAGGCCTCTGATGTTTAGGAGCTAGGCTAAAACTTGGAAAATGAAAAGAATGGGGAAGATCTGACAAATTTTAGGCAAAAAATGAGCAGAACTTAATGGTGGACAGTGTGAGAGTGAAAGAGAAAAGTTGTCATTGATTTCATGGAAATCAAATGGAAGGATAGGGGTGCCAGTGACAAGAGTGAGGCAACTTGATAGAAAAATTAGCTGTCTTTTTAACATATTCAGTTTTAGATAGGGTACCTGAATTATTGCGTCCTGTAGATTGAGAAATCTAGACCAGGATAGAAGAAAGGTTAGGGTTAGAGAAGGTCTGTGTTAGTTTGTATTATTAGGATAGAGTCATTGATTTAAATGAATTAATCAGATTCTTCCCTAAAATGAACATTTTTTGGAATAATATTTTATTATTTTTTACAATTACATGTACGAAGAATTTTTAATATTTGATTTTTTTAAATTTTGAGTTCCAAATTCTTTCCCTGCCTCCATCTTCTCCCACCCTCCCCTCCTCCCTCCCTGAAAAGGTGAGCAGTTTTATATAGGTTATATGTGTGCAATCATGCAAAACATATTTCCCTATTAGGCATGTTGTGAAAGAAAACACAGACCTCCCCACAACACACACACACACACACACACACACACACACACACACACGAAAAATAGTATGCTTTAATTTGCATTTGGACTCTATCAGTTCTTTCACTGGAGGTGGATAGCATTTTTCATTATGAGTCTTTTGGAGTGTCTTGGATCATTGTATTGCTGAGAATAGCTAAGTCATCCACAGTTGATCATTTTACACTATTGCTGTTACCATGTACAATGCTCTCTTCACTTCACTCTGTATCAGTTCATCACCAGTCTGCATCAGTTTTCCAGGTTTTTCTGAAAGCATCCTGCTCATTATTTCTTCTAGCACAATAATATTCCATTACAATCATGTGCCACAACTTGTTCATCCATTTCCCAATTGATAGGCATCCCCTCAATGTCCAGTTCTTTGCCACCACAGAAAGAACTGCTGTAAATATTTTGTACATATGAGTCCTTTTCCTGTTTTTTTTTTAATCTTTGGGATACAGACCTAGTAGTGGTATTGCTGGGTCAAAGGGTATGCACAGATTTATAGCTCTTTGGGCACAGTTCCAAATCTAAAATAAAATTTTAAAACATTATAAAATTAGAATTTCTTAGGGGCAGCTAGGTGGTGCAGTGGATAGAGCTCTAGCCTTGGAGTTAGGAGGACCTGAGTTCAAATCTGCCCTCAGACACTTGACACTTACTAGCTGTGTGACCCTGGGCAAGTCACTTAACCCCAATTGCCTCACCAAACCAAAACAAAAAAACAGAATTTCTTCCTACTCTACTACAAAACTGAATTTAAATTACCTGACAAGTGCTCCTCCAGCCTTTGTTTGAAGATTTCTAATCCATTACTTAGTGAGGCATCCCATTCTACTTTCAAATATCTCTGCCTGTAAGGAAGTTTTTCCTGACATCAAATTTGCCTGTTTGCAACTTCCACCCATTGCTCCTGGTTCAGTCACCTGGAGCCAAAAAGCCCAAATCGGTTTCACCTGTCAACCCTTCTTACGAAAATAGCTTTCATGCCCTTCCTGCCTCCCACCCTCATCCCCCCAACTCTTTCTTTTCCAAGCTAAACTTCCCCAACTTGTCAACCAACAATCTCATCAATGTGGTACTTTCTCCATCTTTGCAAATTGTAATCCATTCATACCTGGCCATGTTGTAGAACTCTAATCCATGATCTTTGAATTTTTCGCAGCAGATACACTCAACTTATTGGAGGTCTTTTTCTAGTTTTCTTGACATTGCATAGATAACTTATTACTACATACCTTTTAAAAAAATAAATTTGTAAAAGAAACAAAAGATGTGTATATTAACCTTAACAATATAGTAAAAATCATTATATATTTTGTTGTTGTTGTCCAGTTGTTTCAGTTGTGTCAAACTCTTTGTGACCCCATTTGGGGTTTTCTTGGCAAAGATACTGGAGTGGTTTGACATTTCCTTGTTCAGCTTATTTTATAGATGAGAAAACTGAGTCAAACAGGATGAAGTGACTTGCCCAGGGTCACACATCTAGTAAGTGTCTGAGGCCTCACATTTGAACTCGGATCTTCCTGACTTCAGGCCTGGCATTCAATGCACCATGCCACCTAACTGCCCCATTATATATTTAACATACTTTTATTACTGTTGACATTATCTTCTACATATTGTCTCTATGTAGAGACATAGTGTGTGTATTGGTCATTTGGGTCTGTCTTCAACACTCTACATCATTTTAGTTATATTTTCACATATATCTTTGAATTCCTCATGTTCATAATTTCTCATGGTAATATTCCATTCCATTCACACACTGTAGTTTATTTGGATATTCCATGGCACCCTTTAATCTAAGCATTTCAAAGACATTTCTTAAATATCATCTTGAAAACTTAGATTATCTGGGAGGAAAGAATCAGAAAAGAAACATCCATTTTAGAGATGGAGAAACATGTGATTAAAGGAATTAGTTTCTTTGCTCATGGTCTTATAGGAAATCATTGGTGGAGCTCAGTCAGATTTCGTAACTCATTTTTCAGTTTTGTATTCACTAGACCACAAGAGGAACATGCAGAAATTTTAACTGTGCTAATAATTAGTCCATGTAGTCTTGCATAAAGTTCTTGACAACAATCAGGACTTGATGGTTCAGAGAAAAGTATTCAGCTTCTCAAATATCATGGTGATGACCCTTTAGGTTGTTATAGTCCTTAAACTATGTATACAGGCTTAGAGAAGAAATGTCTTACCAACTTTGACCAGAGTTCAAGCTCCCTCCTTTTTTCAGGTGAGCTAGTGTGGTACAATGACACAATGGTCCCAAGTACCATGACCGGAGCTATTATTTGGTCCATGTATTTCTCAATTGTTGTTTCCTTTTCCTTACGCTATCTCTCAGCTGTCCTAGGTACATTATTGTATTCTACTTTTTCTAACACATTTTGACCATAGTGACTATCCATGTTATCTTCTTTAAAGAAGAGTACTTAGTCGCTTCATTTATTGATATTGTATATAGATTAAGCAGCTCCAATAATCTGCATAATATTTACATCATAGAAAAGAAGAGAATCTATGATGGGAATTATAGTTATGTAAAAGAAATAGGATATTCAGAAAAGGAAAATTTGTTCGAAGAGGGTTCGATTCTATATTGGTACATTATGCATTCAAGGACTTGGGCTGTCACAGTATCTATAAGCAATTTATAATCCTTAAGGATTATATCTGTTGTACGAGAGTGAAAGAGAAATTATTTAGTAAGAAAAGTGTTATTTAAATAAAAATGTTTTGAATTGAACTAGTTCCTTGTCAGGTTGTCACAGTGGATTCAACTCATTTCAAAGAACATTTAACAAATGCTGACTATGCAAAGCACACTACAGCATTTAAAATATAAGTCTTGGGGCTCTGTTTGTGAGATTTCTAATACATACTATAAATTTATTTTTGTAATAAAATAGGTGCTCAGTCCTAAAAGGTTGAGATAGTTTGACCACAGTTTTTAGTTTTCTATCCTTGTGTTTTTCCTTCCTGTCATGCCCCACCCCCTTCCCAACAAAACATGTTTTAACTCAGTTTAAATTATAAAGTGCCATGTAACATCTTTAGTGTTATTTAAAAATGTTTGTGTCTCCTTTGAAGAACACTTCATTGCTTTCTTTATCTCTTTTCTAAAATATTAGGAAACTCATTATTTGAGTGATGGTTTTAGTTTTCCTTGTTCTTTAGAAACTATAATAAGAAGAAAAATCGGTATAAAATATGAATTCTTTCCAGCAAGTTATTAGACTTAACATGATTTATATATTTACATATAATTTATATATATATCTATATATAGCCATAATACAGTGCAATACAATACAATTATTTTAATTTGAAAGATATACAAGTAGTTTTTATTATCATCACACAAGCTGATCTCTTGGAAAGACTGCCTTTCTTCACTGGTTTGATTCTGAATGACTTGAGATGACCATGTTTTCAAAAGTATCTGAAGTTAACAAACAAATGTGTTTGAAACTATCTGAGAGCTTATTAAACATCTGATATATTTACCTGAAGGTGAAGTTAAACATGTAGAATTAAAATTCTTTTGGGGGAAAGGGTTCTGTAGCAAATATTTGCATTTAACAGGATATCGTTAAATTAGTGTGCTTGTTCATGCTGTACTGTGTAATATTTTTAATTGAACATGGATAAAGCTACTAACAAGTTTATAGATTTTTCCATGAGTATTTGCTGATGTTCTGTTTTCTAAAAAGATAGGGAAATAAGTACATATTTTGTTTTCATTGTTTTAGCTTTGCTTAGTTTTAAGATCATATATTTTTATTCTTCAACTACAGGACATTTTGAAGAACTCTTCAGAGACTATTAGTAGGAGCATTTTTCCTCGATGCATTAAAAAATGTATTATACTACTGTGACACACTGAGACAGCTAAAGAAACAATTTTCAACATTGGTATGTTTTAAGATTTTTCCTGAATTATTAGAAGAGTAGGACAAGAATAGGAATTACAAATAACCTTAGCTTTGGGGTTTCAGGTTTGGGTAAAAGTTGACTAAATTGGTAAATTTTTAAATTGTCATATTGTCTTTTCTTCTATTGTTATGTTTTTTAGCTTCATAGAAATTCGTAATGTGACATAACTTTTGATGTCATGAAGGTCATGTTATAGGGAGTTTAAAAATAATAGTGGGAATTTTCACAACACTCACCATTTTAACCACTTCTATACTATAATATTTTGTGTCTGCTGATAGCCTTCGGGCAGCCTATAAAGCTGAGTAGTATAGTGGAACGATAGTGTGACGGAGTAAAACTGTCTTTAAACATAAGTATCTTAAAAACACTCCTTTCTTTTTTGAGAAGTAGCTAAAAGAATTAAGCAGTTCCAACTGCTTCTGTAGTAACTGAAACTGTAGTTCAAAAATCAAATTCAAATATAATAACTAATCAAAATAAATAGAGTAAAAATGCCTTATGTTTCTATGATTCTTTTTAACTTCTTAAAATGCCTTCATGTCAAGTCATTTTCATAGAAAAGGTTTGTGAAGTAATTAGAGACTGCATTGTTGTGTTCATTTGACACATGAAAAAACAGGTACAGAGGAATTAAGTAATTTTCTTAAAGTCATGTAGCTAGTTAATAGCAGAGCTAACACTAAATCCAGTACCCTTTTGTACTGGAGTTCTTAATCTAGTGTGCCATGAACTTATTTTTAAAAAATATTTTGGTGACTCATTTCAATATAACTGGTTTATTTTGTAATCCTAGGTATTTTATATTATGCATTTAAAGCATTATTCAGAGAAGGGGTCCGTAGGCTTCACCAGACTGCCAAAGGGCCCCAGGACACAAAGTAAGGCTAAGAATCCCTGTATTAGCATTATCTAGAAGAGTAGTATGATATAGGCAACCAAAATCTCTATTATTTAACTCCAAGATAAATCTGCTTTTATGATTTTATAATATTTACACCTCACAATTTTATTCCTTATGTTAGGCTATATTTTACATGCTTGTATCATAACACAATTAGAATAATATTAAATAACCTATTTGTTATTAAACTTTCATATGTACATAGTAATTAAGAAAATTAAAATGTTAATGTATTTTTTGCCTGTTAATAAAAATATTTTTGTGTATGCTTTTTGCTAACAAGGAGACTGGAATTAATTTTTTTTTCAAAAGGAACCATGTAATCCTCTGTGAACAAAAATAATTATTTTTAGTCTTTTTTTCCCAAGTTCTTGAGAACTCCTACTTGAGCAACTTAACTTTAAATGATCTTTTAAAATGTTAGATTTGAATCTAGTTAATGAATTATAGGAAGCTATGTAGTAAGATTTCTTTTTTAACACAAGAAATGTTTCACTTCTGGTTTTCAACAAAAGCACAAGTTAAATTTACCTTTGCTTCTCTTTCCCCTGTGCAAAAAAGTAAGTATGTTATGTTCTTAAAATTGGAATCTTTATGTTAAGAAGAAATTCTGTCACAAAACAATTTTAGTATTTCAGTAACAGGGTAGTGAAATTTACATTTCAGACTTCATAACTAAAAAGTTTTGTAATTGACATTCTATCAGTTTATTTGGAGGTATGCATTTTTGTTTGTTTTAATGTCACCGTTCTAATTAATAATAAGGATTAAAACTGAAAGGTATGTAGTATAATCTTCCTGGTGAAGGGGAAATTGTAGTAAAATAGATTTTACAATCAGTAATGAAAACATCATTACTCTAGAGCTTAGATTAGCCAATATAGTTATGTTTAATAAAGAGGATACTAGAAATTTGACTGATGAAGGTGGCTGGGTGGGTTTTGGGTAGGTGAGAGGTTCTTCCCCTTCCATCTCCATCTCAGTACAACTGAGCATGTTTTTATGCTGTCGACATTCCCCAAATACTAAGGCAGAAGGTAGACTTCTCACAAAACCCATTAAGACAAGATGGCACAGGCCTGATTATTGCACTCTGGCACTTTAGTGTAAGGCAATAATGGAAGATCAATCAATTAGCAAGCATTTGTTAAGTGCCTACTATGTGTCAGACACTGTACTATGTGCTGGTGATACAAATGCATAAGCATTTGTAGACAACCTTTGCCCTTAAAGAGCCTGTGTTCTACTGAGTGAGATACTTGTTCATAAAAAAGTAAATACAGTGTGTATACAAAATAAAGTGACTTGGAGGGGTAGCAAGCAATGATGAGAAAAAGAAATTTAGGTTCAAGAGCAAAGTGTAAAAGTATACCTTTCCTAAACCATCATTTTACCTTAACTCAGAACTGAAAAAGAACTCATGTAAGATGGAGGTCAAGTTCAGTAGATTACCTCCTATGTCCCTTATTGTTGTACTGCTACCTCGTATTATTATTATTATTATTATTATCATTATTAATACTTTGTCTGTATGCTCTGGCTCCACAAGTAGACTGTCAAGTTCTTAAGGCAAGGGTTCTGTCTTTTTTCTTTTTGTATCACTAGCACCAAGCACAATGCCTTGTAAGCAATAAACATTCAGAGGTGTCTTGATGAAGGTGTCATTATGCTATTACACAATTTTTTCTTGCACTTCAGATAAGAGAATCTAGATGTGGCTTCTTGAAAATTAGTAGCTTTTCTTTAATCATGATGTAATAAAAACGGAATTTATCCTTTATATTCTGCTACTAATCTTAAGGGAACGTTGTAGCGTGTCACTGTTAAAGGATAAAAAGGTTCACTTGTCTGGTACCGAATTCACATTCAAAACATAGAATTGATCCTTAGCCAGTTAGGGACTACAGAGTGTATGTGTTTGGTACAATGAGGAGGTGATAATGCATTTCTTGTGTCACTTCTTTATTTTGAAAGTGTCCAGCACATTAGTGATTTAGGTTTCTCTTCTCTGTAGCTTTCTTACCCCAAGAAGATGACCTGAATATTATTCCCATTAAAGAAAATGTGTGAAAAGTTAAGGTCCAAACCATGAATCTGTATTGTGGAATTTTCCAACATTGAAATGTTTAAGGTTCTAGCTAGAGTGAGGGAAGATAAATATAGATTTCTCACATATTCATGCTAAATTTAACCTCTTGGCTGTTAGTTTCCTGTCTCCTTAATCTGTCCAGTACAAGTAGCATGGGACATACATTTAGTTTTGTTGTTGTTTTTAATTAGAAATTTGAGTAACCCAAGAGAAAAAATAACCTGAGGAACATATACCTGAAAATTCATTTACATTATTTATAAGTCTTCTAAGAGAGTTTACTCTTCTGAGAGAGAGGGTTTTTTGTATAATTACAACAACCGTATGTTCTATTTTTCCCCACTTATTTGATATAAATGTTTCCATATATTGACAACTACTGATTACTTAAAATAGTTTTATTCTGTTAGGTTAATATATGACATTTTGTTTAGCCAAAAGAAGTTATTAGGCGTTTGGGTTGTTTTTGACTTTTCACTTTGATTAGTAGTCCTGCTGTGAATATAGGATCATAGATTAGAATTGAGTTAAACCCTCTAATTTTACAGATGAAGAAACTGAGGCCCAGAGAATTTAAGTAACTTGCCCAGGGTTACACAGCGAGTAAATATCGGAGTTGAAATTTGAACTTAGGTCTTCTTACCTCCAAGTCAGTACTCTATTCACTTCACCATGCTGCCATCTTCATAAACTTTTTATGTTTTGAGTTATTTGCTTGAAATATATTCTCAAAAGTGGAATTGCTTGATCAAACGGTATAAACTCCTTTTTGGCTTATTATGTATCACCAGATTATTCTCCTGAAAACTGAACCAATTTAGAATGACACCAGCAGTATGATCGGACCTGTTTTCCCACAGACTCATGAACGTATCATCCACTTTATTCCTGTTTGATAGTTCTATACACTTTCAGTTCTTATTTGAATTTTTTCTCCCAGAATTCAATTTCTTATGGGTGAATAAGAGAAACCGCATTTATTAAGTACCTACTGTGTGCCAGGCACTATGCTAAGCGCTTTACAAATATCTCATTTGATCCTCACAACAACCCTATGATGTAGGTGCTACTATTATCTCCATTTTACAATTGAGGAAGCTGAGGCACACAGTGGTTAAGTGATTTGCCCAGGGTTATACAATTAATAAATGACTTAGCCTGAATTTGAACTAAGATCTTCTTGACCCTAGGCCCAGCAGAGGCCTCACCTGCCTTCGTTTGTGCCCTGATGAATAAGATTTTACATTTTTTATGGCGAGCTTAAATTACAGTTAATTAGTGTTAGCTATAAACGTTGGTGGTAATGGAATGGGGGAGAAAGAAAGAGAATGGTGTGTGGGAAACAGTATCAGATTCATTTAACTCTAGCAACATTCAGATAATTTAATAGTATTATAAATTATTTTATTAATAATAGGATTAGGATTATTTTCATCCCAAAATCTCTGGGAAGAATTTGAGTTTTTAGGTAAATAGAATAAAAGGAATGAAGAAACTATGAAACTTTCTTCATCATTTAAAAAAATTTAATTTATTTTGATTGATGCTTTTTTATGTCACATTATCTATCCCCTTGTTTTATAGTGATCTTCTCTTTGTAACAAAGAATTTTGTAATGAAGAGGACTAAAAATTGGTTCAGCAAAACCAGCTACCACATTGAACATGTTTGACGATATATTTTCTCAACATCTTTTTGAAAAACAGATTCAAGGTTGATAACAACAACATGTCTTTAGACTGTTTTTGTTGCTATTTTGATTATAACCAAAGGGAAATCATGGAATTATTTGTATGTCTTGGATTTCCATAGTGAATGTTTAGTAGGTACTTTCCCTTTTCTATTATTATCAAACTTCATTTTTAGTAGTTTTACTTAAAATTTAAGTGATGTTCTTTAGCCATGTTTATCCCTACTTTTTAAAATAAGATAAGCTATTAATCATAACCTAAACAGGGATTGTTTAATGGGCATTTCATGTGTCTA